GGGATATATTCAAGGTCATATTTTGGCTCTCATGGACTTGTTTTCATTTTCTTCAGCTTCAGTTTGAATTTGCATATGAGCAATTGATGATCTGTTCCACAATCTGCCCGAGCTTTTCCATCGTCTCTTTCTGCAGATTTAATCAATTTGATTTCTGTGTATTCCATCTGGTGATGGCCATGTGTATAGTCTTTTCTTATGCTGTCTAAAGAAGGTATTTAAAATGAACAAATCATCGGTTTTGCATAATTCTATCATGTGATCTCTAGCATCATTTCTATCACCAAGGCCATATTTTCCAAGTACTGATCCTTCCTCTTTGCTCCCAACCTTTGCATTCCAATCACTGGTAATGATCAATACATCTTGACTGCATGTTTGATCCATTTGAGATTGAAGAAGTTGGTAGAATTCTTCTATTTCATCCTCACTGGCTTTAGTGGTTGGTGCATAAATTTGAATAATAGTGGTATTCACTGGTCTTCCTTGTAGGCACACGGATATTATCCTATCACATTCAGCATTGTACTTCATGACTGATCTAGATATGTTCTTTTTGACAATGAACGCAACACCATTCCTCTTCAGTTTGTCATTCCCAGCATAGTAAACCATGCGGTCATCAGATTCAAAATGGCCAATAGCAGTCCATTTCAGCTCACTAATGTCTAAGATATCAATGTTTATGCATTCCATTTCATTACAATTTCTAATTTTCCCAGATTCATACTTCGTACATTCCATGTTCCGATTTTCAATGGATGTTTACAGTTGTTTCTCTTCATTTTGAGTTGTGCTCCATCAGCAAACGAAGGTCACAAAGGCTTTACTCCCACAGGCTTTACTCCATTCGCCTCATCACGGTCAACTCGACTATGATGGGGCAGCTCCTCCCCAGTGGCATTTTGAGTGTCTTCCAACCTGAGGGGCTCATTTTCTAGCACTATATCTGACAGTGTTTCTCTGCTATTCATAAGATTTTCAGTGACTAAATACTCAGAAGTAGTTAGTACTCCTTCCTAGTCTGTCTTCGTCTGGAAGCTCATCTGAAACTTGTCCACTATGGGTGACCCTGCTGGTATTTAAAATACCAGAGGCATAGCTTCCAGAATCATAGCAACTCACAAGCCACCACAGTACAGCAAACTGACAGACATGTGGTGGATAGTTTAAATTCTGAAATGAATTATGCAAGTAAACAATGGATGTAAAATACATAATGCCAAAATGCTAAGATTAATCAAATAAAACTTAAGGAAATTGAAAGACAAAAGAGAACTTCAGCGAAAGATGCAGTGACTGAGCATCTGTATGGAATTATCCCTAGCATTGACGGTTCCGGCACATGTCCTATCTCTATGATGTGTGTCCGAGAACTTAGAGTTCACTATAAATTTGTTGCTGTTGAGTGTCACGAAGTCAGATCCGATTCGCAGTGACCCTGTGTACAATAGAACAAAACATCACTCTGTCATGTGCCATGCAATTACTGCTACACTTGAGTCCACTCCTGCTGCCACTGTGCCAATCCATCTTGTTGGAGGCCTTCCTCTGTTTGCTGTCCCTGCACTTTAACAAGCATGATGTCCTTCTCCAAGGGCAGGTCCCTTCTGATTATATGCCCAAAGCTTGAGAAACTGGTGTTGCGCTGTGGGTTAATGTACTGGATTGCAAAGTCATTAGAACTGCAAGGAGGGTGGTTCAAGCTCATCATCAGGGATCGCTATGGGTACTACTCAATGGCACTTAACAACAACAACAACAAGAGATGAAGTCTGGCCATCTAAGGTGCATTCTGATTGTACTTCTGCCAATACAGATTTGTTTAAAAAGGTCTTGTGCAGCAGATTTGCCTAATGCAGTAAGTACATAGTTTGATGTCTTGATTGCTTCTTCCATGAGTTTTGATGGTGGATCCCAGTAAAATGAAGTTTTAAACAACTTCAATCTTTTTTCCAATTATCATGATGTTATTTATTGGTCTAGTTGTAATGATTTTTGCTTTTTTTACATTGAGTTGCAATCCATATCGATGGCTGTGGTCTTTGATCTACATTGTTGTTGTTGTTGTTAAGTGCTGTCGAGTCGGTTCCGACCCATAGCGACCCTGTACAGGGTTTCCGAGGGTGTAAATCTTTACGGGAGTAGAAAGCCTCATCTTTCTCCCGCGGAGCAGCTGGTAGTTTCAAACCGCTGACCTTAAGGTTCGCAGCCCGATTCGTAACCACTATGCTACCAGAACTCCTTTGATCTACATTAGTAAGTATTTTAAGTCCTCTTCACTTTCAGTAAGCAAGTTTGTATCATCCACATATTACAGGTTGTTAACGAGTCTTCCTCCAATCCTGATGCCACATTGTCCTTCATATAATCCAGCTTCTTGGATTATTTGCTTCACAAACAATTGAATAAGTATAGTGAAAAGAAAATCAACCCTGGCACACACTTTTCCTGATTTTAAATCTTTTAGTGTTCCCTTCTTTCAACTGCCACTTGGTCTATGTACAGGTTCCTCATGAGTACAATTAAATGTTCCAAAATATCTATTCTCTGGAGTGTTGTCCATAGCGCGTCATGATCCACATAGTCGAAAGTCTTTCCATAGTCAGTAAAGCACAGGTATCTTTCTGGTATTCTTTGCTTTCAGCCGAGATCCATCTGGCATTGACAATGATATCCCTCACTTCACATCCTCATCTTGATCTGACCTGAACCTCTAGCAATTCTCTGTCATTATACTATCATAGCCAGTTTTTTAGCAAAATTTTACTTGCATGTGATATTAATGATATTGTCCAATGATTTCTGCATTCTGATGGGTCATCTTTGCAATGGGTACAAATATGGATCTCTTCCAATCAGTTGGACAGATAGTTGTCTTCCAAATTTCTTGGCATAGTTGAATGAGTGCCTCCAGTGTTACATCAGTTTGTTGAAAGACTTCAATTTGTATTCCATCAATTCCCAGAGCCTTGTCCTTTGCTAGTGCCTTCGGTGAACAACTGAACTTCTTCCTTCAGTATCACCGGTTCTTGATCATATGTTGCCTCTCAAAATGGTTTAACAGTGACCATTTCTTTTTAGTACAATGACCTTGTGTATTCCTTCCATTGTCTCTTGATGCTTTCTGCTTCATTCAATATTCTGTCTAAAGAAACCTTCAGTACTGAAAGTTGAGGCTTGAATATTTTTCCCCCTCAGTTCTTTCAGATTAAGAAATGTTGAACATGTTCTTCCCTTTTGGTTTTCTAACTCCAGATCTTTGTACATTTCATTATAATATTTGACTTTGTCTTTTTGAGCTGCCCTTTGAAATTTTCTGTTCAGCTCTTTTACCTCCTCATTTATTCCATTTGTTTTGGCATGTCTACACTGCAGAGCAAGTTTCAGTCTCTTCTGACATCCATTTTGGGCTTTTCTTTCTTCCTTGTCTTCTTAATGATATTTTGCTTTCTTCCTGTATGATGTTCTTGATGCCATCCCACAACGCTTCTGAATTTTGGTCATTAGTGTCTAATGCCTCAAATATCTTCTTGAGATGACCTCTAAATTCAATCAGGATATGTTCAAGGTCATATTTTGGCTCTCATGAACTTGTTTAATTTTCTTAAGTTTCAGCCTGAACTTCCCCTCACCTTAATTTGGCTGATGATGTGGAGGTTTTCCACTGTCTCTTTTCACAGATGTGGTCTATTTGATTTCTGCGTATTCCATTTGGTGAAGTCCATGTGTATAATTGTCTTTTATGTTGTTTTAAAAAGGTTTTTGTAATGAATAAATCCTTAGCTTTTGGCATTTTAGGAGAGTAGAAGATCAGTCTCACTGAGCACTGACTGAGCACCCGCCCTGGGTTCACTGCCAGCTCCTCACTCTTAAGCTTACCTACCTAGCTATCTCCAACTCTCCCGTTTTCCTGATTGTTCCACCTACACGGAGAAACAGCTTCCCATTAGTAGAATTGTTTCCACTAAGTTTGATAGTTAATTTGTGCCTCCAGCCTGGAAACAAAGAGGGAAAAAAAAGAAAAGAAAATGAAGGGTTAAAAATACTAGAAATACATTTTATCCTGGACTTTTTTGACATAACTGCACATGATAAGGTTAAAGTAGAACAAAGCTCTAGCTAGTCACACACACACAAAAAACCAAAAAACAATTTAATATACTTTCCATAAATTTGGTGGGAAAACTACATTTAAAAATACAGATAAATGCTCACATTTCAGTTTTCCAATAGTAAATAGTTTAATGATCTGTCAAAAGGAAAATCCATTAGTTTTCCAGGTGTTTTTATGACTTTTTAAAATGGAAGTCATATGTCTTCTTTTACTGATTTCCTTTGTATTCTGTGACATGTATACTTTCTAAAGCTAAGTTTATTATTCATCATAGTTTCACAATCCACAAAAAGATTCTAAGAATCCTCATAGGCTTACAGTCATTTAGAGGCAAAGTGACTGGTCCCCTGCTCCAAACAATAGGCGCTGGACTGTGAACAGCAAGGTCTGTGGTTTGAGCCTGCCAGCCTCTCTATAGGAAACAGATGAGGCTATCGGTTCCCAAGAAGACTTAAAGCCACGGAAACCCTATGCAAGGTCTCGATGAGTCAGAATCCACTCAACGGCACTTAACAACAATAACAACAGCTCTCACAGGAATATAGACTAGACCTAGTCAGCACAGGGCTGGGTCTGCCCCATACCTGCTTACAGCACAATTCCCCTGCACGTGGCTGAGTGTTACTGTTTGTAAATCTAGAGCTAAACAAACCTTTCATCCTATATCCTGGAATTATTGTATGCTAATAATGTTAACTTTCAAAAATGCAGTTCTTCATGGAATTTGAAAAGCTCCAGACAGCAAGAGGGGGCTACCAGAGAAAGGTATTTAATTCATTGCCAATGAGTCCTTTTTCCCTCTTCAACCCATTTCACTGAAATACGGCTCCTAGTGTCCTCCTCATTGAAACCCTCTCCCTAAGCTGGCCAAGGATTGAATTATTGCTCCATCCAATGATCCCCTTGAACCTTGTCTCAGTTGTGGTGAAAGCAGACTCCCTTCTCCACCGTCTTTCTTCCTTTGGCCGGTTAACAACGCCCTCTGCTCCAATTTTCCTACTCTCTCTCAGCCCATCCTTCAGTCTGCTTTACAGGGCTATCTTTTGGACACACTTTCTTTGGGTGGTTCCATCATCCACTTTCACAGAGGATTACTGTTTTCACATGGGTGATGCCCAGACCTCTCTCTCTACACCACATCCATCTCTAGTGGCTCTGATCCCTATCTCTAACCCCCTTGTAGCTGTGCACACTCCCAAAGGCACTTCCAATGGGATATGTGAGAAACCGAAGCTCTTATTTTACTCAAGCCAGCCTGTCTTCCTGTTTTCACTCGGAGCAAATTCCACATCTTCTAGTCAGCCACCATCAACCTCTACTTCTCCTTTTTCTGCATCCCTCCCTCAAGTCCATTCAACGTGTTCCAAGTTCCATTCTGCTTCTACTGTTGACCCCACCTCTGTAATCTTGTCACTGTTTTCTACCTTTATACCTGCAGTGTTTTAGCAACTGCTTCACAGGTCATCCTGCTTCCATCTTGCCCCCTCTAGTCCATGTAACAACTTGAGTGATTTGCATTTTAGGATAAGCACTGGATTGCTAAGTGCAAGGTGAACAGTTCAAGCTCACCAGCCGCTCTTGGGAAACTCCATACAGAGTTGCTTCCTGCAAGTCAGAACCAATTCAACGGCATTTAACAAGAACAACGAAAATAGAGCATAGGGCTTCCTATGGGTGTTCATCTTTGCAGGAGCAAAAAGCCTTTCTCCTGAAGAGCAGCTAGTGGACTTGAACAGCTAACCTTGTGGTTCCCAGTTCAGTGCTTACTAAACAGAGCTACCGCACTTCGTACATAACATAACCATTTAGTGGCTTTCTATTGACCCAAAGAAAACTCCCAGACTTCCCACCTGGAATACAAGGCTCTTCATTCTCAACTTACCTCTTGTTATTATTTAGTGCCCCCGATGGTTTTGACTCATAGTGACCCTGTATAGGGTTTCCAAAGAGCGGCTGGTAGATTTAAACAACTGACATTGTAGTTCAAACTGACTTTTCAATCCAGTGCTTACCCTACAGCACTAACTTACCTCATCTCATACCCCCCCTTCCACATTTCTTTGGGGGTGTCTTCCTCAGCTCTGCTCTCTCTTACTCCCACTGTTTACATGTAGTGTTCCTTCTTCCTTAAATACTCCTTGTCTTCTCCCTCTTTCTCATCATTCAGGATTCAGCTTAGAAAAATTGTTCTTCCTTAGAAGGCTCCCCTGACCTGGTTGTGAAAGTTCTTCCTTTGTGTTATGAGTTTCCTGAATGCCTCCTGGTAAAGTGATTACTTGGGATTGAAACTGGGGTATCTGCCCCATTAGCGGACACTCACTGATGGACTTCACTGTACTATTGCTCACTGCATCCTCAGGGCCTCTTCCAATGCCCCGTACATAGAAGACATTCATTAAAATCTGTTGAATTTTTGAAGATTAAGAACCTTAAAGCATTATGATAAAACTTAGTACCAATACTTACGGGCAAATGGGGAAAAAGTCCCTGTGTTTAAAAAATAATATGGTCTATCATTCGTCGTGTTTTTGAGGTGAAATCTATCAGCAAAGTGACCCATTGTAGGGCAACCTTCTTTGGGACAATGAAAGCAATCCCCCTGGTGACAGAAAATAAGATGTAATTAATTTATGTTTATAATTAGAACATTTTCAGTTTCTATAAATAAACCCAAATTCTTCAATAAACCCATGATATATTGTCAAACCATAATTGTTGTTGTTGTTAGGTACCATCGAGTCAGTACCAACCCATAGCGACCTTATGCACAGCAGAACGAAACACTGCCCGATCCTGGGCCAACCTCACTACTGTTGCCACACTTGAGTCCATCGATGCTGCCACTTGGCTAATCCATCTCATTGAGGGTTTTCCTCTTTCTCTCTGACCCTCCACCTTACCAAACATGAAGGAATCTAAGTAAAGTACATGCAATTTTAAATGACCACGTTGCCAATTTTCAAATTAAAACAAAACAAAAATAACTGAGAGAAAAAGACATAAGCCCTATTCTAAAAATGATTAAGGATATGAATAAGTAATTCATATAAATTTATTTTGCTGTGTATATTCTCAACAACAGCAACAAAATAAGTAAGAGTTGTTGTTGCTGTTAAGTGTTGTTGAATGGGTTCCAACCCATAGCGACCCTGTATAGGGTTTCTGAGGAGCAGCTGGTGAGCTTGAACTGCCAACCTTGTATTCAAACCAACTTTGCAGTCCAGCACATTAACCCACAGTGCCACACCAAGACTCCAAGTTAGTGGGGGAAAAACACTCCCACAAATCTTTAAAGGAGCACACTGCATATTTGTCCCCATCTGCTACTTGTATCTCATCTGAATGAGCAGTTCCTGGATTAGTATTGAGGCTGAGCAATGCTTCACACAGGAAAACAGGCCAATCCAATAGTTTCTACATGTACAATTCAGTGACGTTCAAGTTGGGCAATCTTCTCACTCTCCTTTTCTTAGTTGTCCCTCCTCCATTACTATAAACCGATTGCCTCTAAGTTTCCGATCTATTCTTTTGCTGTTGTCGATTAGATCCCATAAAAACAGTTTTAAAAAGAGTTTAATGCTCGATGCAGACATTTTTGACTACCTGCGATAGACTACTGTTAAGTTTTAAGAAGACTTCAGGAGATATTTTTGGTTGAGAGTTTAAAGATTATTTCAGGGTAATAGTTTCATCAATCCCGTGGGAATGTTTTTGACATTCTGTACTTGTTTTGGTAATGCCTTAAGGAGCAGCTTGTGATGTTTTAACATACTTATCCAATCCTCTTTTAAGAATACTTAAGCTTTCAAAATTCCCAGCAGATACCTCATATTAGCAAGTCACTTCAATGAACATGTATGCTTGTCTGTTCCTTCTTACTCTTCATACTCAGCAAAACTGGAACAATTTAAACAACTAACACCACGAAATACTGGTAAAGGCAGGGTAGACAAATTCTCATTCACTACAGAGGGGAGTAGAAGCAGGGACTCCCAATTGTAGACAGCAATTTGGTAATTTCTAGTAAAGATGGAAGTGCACATATGCATTGACAATTTAACTTCTAATATGAATGACAAAGAAACTTCCACCCAAATACAGAAGAAAGTATGTGAAGGGGTGTTTCTTGAAGCATCTCTTTTAATAACAAAAACTGGCAATGACCAAAATACACATCAGTAAGGGAATGAGTAAATGAATTGTCATCAGTTCCTACAAAGAACATGCACTAGATCCAAACACATCAATGTCGATCTCAGTGTTATAATATTTCATGAAAAGAGCAAAACCAGTGTTGTTGTTCAGTGTTGTAGAGTTGGGTAAAACTCAGTGACCCTGTACAGATAGGGATTTCAAGGACCTGCTGGTAGGTTTGAATCACTGACCTTTTCGTTAGCAGTCCAGTGCTTATCCTACAGCGCCACACCAACATGTGATACCATTTATTGGGTAAATGGAAAATTCACTTCAAATTCTACCTTGGGGAGGAAATGAAAAATGCAAGGGATGTTGATACTTTACATGTTTTTTAATTAAAAGCAAAATTAACAATACTCATCGTTCATCATCCAATAACCTGGGTAGCAGGTGACTGAGTATTTGCTGCTTCAGGTTTTAGACGTTTATTCTAACAAACCATGGATACTTAGGCTAGGACTATGTTCTTGTTGTTAGGTGCCATCAAGTTAGTACTGACTCTTAGCGACCCTATGCACAGCAGAACGAAACACTGTCCGATCCTGGGCCAACCTCACTAC